CGCCCCCCCCCCCCCCCCCCCCGTTCTTCAGAGGGAGACCCAGGTCCAGTGGGGACTATGGCCAGAGTGACCCAGCTTCATGAGCGAGTGTGGACTGGAGCCTGGTTCTCCCGACTCAATGTGCTTTCCATATACCACGCGCCCTTCATGAGGCCTCCCTGGCCCCCAGCCCCCACCTCCCCGCCTCCTATGGATTTCCCCAAGCTTCTGGTCTGCAGGCCTCTCAGTAGGCCCCGTGGCTTTGCCGTGGTCCCTGGTTTCTGATGAACCCCTCTTGCTTTCCTTCGATCGGCCTGTCTCACATCTTATTCCCCCTTTCCTCCTGCTTCCTGCTGGTCCTCTGAGCAGCTCAGGCTGGGCTGACGTCTGGGGCTCAGAGATGGACACAGCCCTGACGTCCAGGAGCAGATGACCAGGCCCCTTGGCATGAATCATGTCTGGACTCACTGAGCTCCCAGAGGCCTGGGGCCTGGTGGGGGCCAGGTGGACTGGAAGGAGAAGCCCTTCCTTCAGCCGGGAGCCACAGTGCGCAGGCCTGGCCTGACTTACTCGGCCTCTCTGCTCCCGCGCCTGCCTCACGATGGCCGCCCTCCTCAGTTTGGTGAAGGCCGCTCTTTTCCTCAGGAGCTCGTTGTAGAAGAACAGGATCCGCTTCTTCTCTCGCTGGGCCAGGAGAAGAGGGTCAGGGCCAGCGCAGGGGGAGCTGCTGGCGGCTGGTGTGTGTGTGTGTGTGTGTGAGCGCTGCCCGGAGGGGTGGGGAGGTCCGGGGAGAGGCCAGGGTGCACCTTGGGGAAGTAGAAGGCTGCGATGACCCTCCGGAGCCGGTAGCCGAAAGCCTGGAGCAGACAGAGACACACTAGCAGGCCGGTGGGGAGTCCAGTCCGCGCGTAGGCTCCGGGGCTCAGGCGCACGGGCTGAGGCAGGCAGGCTGGGGGCGGGGAGGCCTGTCAAGGGTCTGGCCGCTGAGGGACAGGGCAGCCCTGGCTGAATTCCCACCCCAGTGAGGGCGCAGGTCAGGTCTGAAACCTTGCCGGGCTCCTGCTTCCCCCGCCCCCTGAAGAGCTGGGCCATCAAGGGCCCAGGCGGCTATGTGCTCAGCACAGCGCAGATGTAGACCATTTCCATCGGGGCAGGGAGTTCTGTGGGACAATGCCCTCCAGAGGACGGGACCCTCTGGCCCTAAGGCCCAGCCCCCAGGCTCCTCTGACCCAAGTCTGTCATCCTCCAACTCTTCAAGTCGGACCTGATATTTCCTGCTCTGATTCCCCAACCCAAACAGTCTCCTCTGACCCCTTCTCCCCCCACCAAGGCCCGGTCCCCCACTCTGGGCCTTGGAAAGCCCCTCGCCCCTCAGCCCTCCATTCCTCTGCTCCGAAATCTCAGCATCACTCACGCATGTTGTTTGATTCCACCACCGTCTCCGAGGAGGTGTTCAGGGCCCCGATGGTTTTCCGAAGAAGCCGGGCAATCAGGGAGTCCCCCCCAACTTTCACCTCCAGTTTATGACTGCCTGAGGCAAAGATCCGGGCAGTGGGGTGGGGGATGCGGGATGGGGGATGATGTAGGGGTTAGGTGAGGAGTTGGAGTTAAGGGGATGAGGAGAGGCCCAACTCAGAAACACTTCTCAGCTGCACAGTCCACCCCTTCACTGAGTGCCACGCCCTTTCTCTTGTGGACGTAAAGGGGCTGGAAACCGAGGGCCCCGGGAACAGCTGTCAGGTTGCGGGGCTCAGATATGACCCTGAGGAGAACCGAAAGGGGCTGAGACAAAAATGGGAAGACTCGGGGTGGGTGGCTGCACAGGGCCCTGTCGGGGGCGCGCTCACTGCGGAAGGAGTACTGCAGGAAGGAGTGGCGGCGGATGGTGTCGAAGATGGAGTAGAGAGCCCAGTCCAGCCCACACAGCACCAGGAGCAGCAGCAGAACCGGCAGTGTCTCCAGCAGCTCCCTGACCTGCCAAGAGCAGGAGGGGTGGAGCGGGCACCCACCTGCCCCGGCATGGCGCCCTCTCTGTGCCTCTGCCCTCCACTCTCAGATCTGTGCCTCTAGTGGCCCCCCTGCCATCCTCACCACATTTCTCATTTCTGAGGCCTGGATGGTGGGGTCGTAGGGGAAGATGACCGTCTTCTTCTCAGCTTTGCGGAGCGGCAGCAGAGTCCGTTTGCCCTGGAAAAAAGGTGTCCACACTGCGGGGAACACCAAGGAACACCAAGGGCCCCCTCCCCCACGCCTTGCCCTCCCGGAGCGTGAAGCCACAGGTCAGCTAGCGGCGCACCCGCACCCTCGGGTGAGGCTGGGCCCCCTCACCAGCTTCTTCCTGCGTTCGTCGATCTGGCAGAAGTAGGTGCTGACGTAGATGTTGTCAAAGCGAATGTCCCCGTTATAGCTGTCCACGTAGGAGAAGGACCTGCGGATGAGGACGTCCCCCTCTCTCTCCGGCCCGGGGCTTCCTCAGGCACAGCCACGCCACCCGCCGGCCACTGAACATCATCTGCTTCCTGAGGCAGGAGAAGCCCTGCCCTGCCTCAGTCAGGCGCAGCGAAAGGCACCCACACCAGCGAGGGGGCAGGGGGTGGGGGGAGCTGTCGCGGGAGGAGGGAGATGTCCCAGGCGTGCATCTCCCAGGATGAAATCAAGCAGAGGAACAGCAAGAGCAAAGGCACAGAGCGGGGTGGGGGGGGGGAACCCCCGCAAGGTTTCAGGAGCCACCTGATCCATTGTGACTCCCACATTCACCGCCCGAGTCCTCGCCTCTCGGCCGAGCCTGAAAAACATCTCCTGGAGGATCCTTCCCCTCTGACACACCCCTGGGTTCAGCCGTGGTTTCTGTGTGTGTGTGTGTGTGTGTGTGTGTGTGTGTGTCGAGGGGGGGGGTAGGTGGGTGTGTGTGCATGTGTAACTCTCCTCCGTGTATCTCCCAAGGCCCCACATAAAGCTTCCATTTCTAAGGAAAAAAAATGTTAATTGTTGAAAATGTGTTTGAGCCCCAGCCGGTTTGGCTCAGTGGATAGAGCATCGGCCTGCAGACTGTAGGGTCCCGGGTTTGATTTCAGTCAAGGGCACATGCCTGGGTTCCATCCCCAGGAGGGGGCCTGCAGGAGGCAGCCGATCAATGATTCTCTCTCATCGTTGATGTTTCTCTCTCTCCCTCCCTCTTCCTTCCTCTCTGAAATCAATAAAAATACTTAAAAAAATAGAATGTGTTTGAAACTATACCATGACAGTAAATAATCTCTGTACGCCGTGAAACGTAACTGCCAACGCTATTGGTCCTGGGACCTTGTCATAATCCATACATCTTCCCCTTTAAAGCAGAACTGACTGTAAATGCAAAGAAAGATGGTGGGCGCCCCCTTGTGGAGGAACCTCTCGCTACTGGGCAGAGGCCTCCGGAGCCTGGGCCCCGCCCTGCGCCCAGCGCTGCCCCTGCAGGGAGTGACCTCAGCCAGGTTGAAAGCCTGGAAGTGCCTTTTGACTCTGTGCCTCCTTCCTCCCCTCCCCTCCCCAAGCTCTGAGGCCCGGACACCTTTCCCTCTTAGGGCCTTCTCAGGCCGACTTCCTGCCACGCCCCAGTCCGGCCAGGCTCCCTGACCTCTGACCCACCTTGGACTCCTGCCTTCAGTCTGTCCCCGTCCATCCTGCCACCGCCCCCAGGGCTTTCCAGACTGTCTGGCCAAGCCCACTCCGGCCGAGTCCTCTGCCCTCCACATCCCGCCGATGCCAGGATCCTTGCCCACGAGACACAGATGCCAGGATCCTTGCCCACGAGACACCCTCTCTCTCCTTGACCATGGCTCCCATCGGCTGCCTTTTGAAGCCCATTTATAGCTCTTGCAGGGGCACCTCCTCGGCTCCCCACCCGTCCCACAGCCCTCAATGGCCTCTGTCTCTCGGATGCCTCTCTTGTCTGCCCTCCACCATGAGCTCCTTGGGGGTGGGAATGTGGCCCATTCATCTTTGTCCTCTCACAGGCACACACAGAACCCCTCACTGGCGTCGCCCTGGGCTCTACAAACAAGGGCAGACCACGCAGGAGCCCCTGTGGCTGCCCCTGCCCAGCCCCTGCCCAGCCCCTGCCCATCTCCAGCCTTTGGGGGTGGAGACAGGAAACAGAGGGTCCAGAGGTCAGTAGGGGACGGAGAGCAAGGCTCAGGGCGGCCCGGCTGGACGCCAGGCTGGGTGGGGTGGAGGACTTTGGTCCAAATGGAGGGAAAGTAGCTGCCAACACAGCAGGCGGGAGAAAATGAAAGCAGAATTGGACGATAAAAATGGCACAAAGTCAGAGCCAAGGGGAATAGGAAGGGCAAGAAAAAAACCAGAAGTCAAAGCGAAAAGTAAAAACGTCAGCATCAGGGATAAAGGCTGGAAGGAGCTGGATAGACGGAGACACGGGCGATGTTCCTCCTGACAAAACGCCCACGTCTCCTTTAACTCTGTGTAAACAACGCACCCCGCTCTAGGAACGGCAGAGCTAAGGGCACAAGGACACGCACATTCAGAGTCGGAGGTGGGCCTGATGGTCCGTTCTCCCAGCCCCCCCCCCTCCCCCGCAGGCTCCCCTCCAGAGCTGAGGAAGGGGCTTTGGGAACCGGGGGGACGGGAGTGGGGGGCTCACGCGTGGAGGACGATCAGGAAGGTGCAGGACAGCAGCAGGTGCAGCAGCCCCAGGGCCCACTCCAGCTGGGCCTCCTGGCGCCTCACGTAGTCCCGCACCTCGGTGCTCACGTGCTCCCAGCTGGTGTTGAGGCCCAGCAGCCCGGCCTGCTTCTCCTCCTGCGGGAGGCACGGGCGCAGGCCCTCCAGGCTTCCCACCACCTGGAGTCTCTTTCCTCTCTGCTCTCCTGGAATTCTCTTTCCCAGGAACAAGGCCTGATTGCCCCCTACTTTTCACCTGCCTATACCCATCCCCACCATTAATGAAGTTAGTCGCTATTCATGGAGCCACTCCTCTGTTTGCCAGGCGCAGCCTCTCCGTGGCATCTCTCCCCGGCGCCCCACTCATGTCGTGCCCGCTGGCTTGTCGTGGGACCTGGGGCAGCTGCTGCTGCCTTCTGCCCAACACCGTCCTGGGTCCTGGACATAGGCTTGCTCCCCTGCGTCTACGTGCGAGGGCACGTCCCACACCTGGTTGGCCATCCATCCCAACGCCGGGTCCATGCGCACCACCGGCTCAGCCTGTCTCTCTCCTATCACCCGGCACCAATTCTGTTCCCCTCCTGCCCCCTCCCCATGCCCAGTGACCTCTTTCCTATGCCCCCCCGCCCCCGCCTGCACTTGCCCTACCTCAAGTCCTCTTCCCTGTGCCCTCCTCCCACTCCCTACCCCCCCACCCCCATTCCAAAATGCCCCTGCCTCCTACCTTGAGGTTAATCGTGGCTGAAAAGTCCCCGCCCAGCCCATGAATGGACTGGTTGACAGAGTCGTACGTCTGCCCGAAGTTGCCTTCCACTGGGATGCGACTGCGGCACCAAATTTCCATCGCTGGGGGGCAGCGGGGCCAGGTTAGGGGCTGCCTCCCGTGCCCAGCCTCCAGGCTTCCCTTCCGGTCATCCTCTCCATCCTGCTTTCTGCTTCCCTGCCCACGGCTTCCTCCCACCTGGAGTCTATTTCCTCTCTGCTTTCCTTGAATTCTTTTTCCCAGGAGCAAGGTCTGATGTCCCCCTTTGTCCCCCCTGTCTATAACCAGACCAACTATTAACAAAGTTAGTCCATATTCATAGAGCAACTGCTCCGTTGGCCAGCTCTGTTACTTTCTTCACAAGTGTTAGCGCCTTAAACCAGCGGTTCTCAACCTGTGGGTCACGACCCCTTTGGCGGTCGAACGACCCTTTCACAGGGGTCGCCTAAGACCATCCTGCAGATCAGATATTGACACGACGATTCATCACAGTAGCAACATGACAGTGATGAAGTAGCAACGAAGATAATGTTATGGTTGGGTCACCACATGAGGAACGGGATTTAAAGGGCCAGAAGGTGGAGAACCACTGTCTTAAACCCTCAAAAACCCTGGACGGGATAAGCACTATTATGATGCCCATCTTTCAGCTGAAAAGACAGTGCAGAGCGTGGCTGTCACTTACCCTGGGCAGTGGAAGGGCTGCTCTGAGGGGGCTGTGTCCTCAGAGCCTAAAGCCTCCGCCTCACTGCTTCCTGCCCCACACCTACCCAACGCGCCCCAAGGACTCAGACCCCTGCCCTGGTACTCCCCACCCTCCTGCCCCTGCTGACCCTTGGCAATGCCACAGAAGAACTTGAACTTCATGGGCAGGCAGAGCAGGTGGCTGAGGAGCGGGACCCGGATGCGTCGCATGCACTGTTCGTGCTTTTTGTCAAACCAGCGGCGGCAGTTGAGTATGGCCTTGCTCACCACGTCTGCGGGCGGGGCGAGGGCTGTCTGAGACCCCCACACCCTGAGCTGGAGCCCCGGCCCCATGGCTGCCCCGCCTGGGGACACCCCTCACAGGAGCAGCGAAGCTTGGTCTTCAGCTCGTACATCTTCTGTGTGGAGAGGTGGGGTCTGGAGGCCATGGCGCGGCGGGTCCTCTGCCCTTGGGCGGTCTCTTCCAAGCCCGTGGCATCCTCGGGTGTGTAGCCAGTCTCGCTGTTCACCTGGGCGTCCAGGTCCCCGAAGGACTTGGAGATGTTTTGAGTCTCGGCTGTCAGTGACGTTTTGCTGCCCTGGGGGTACGAGGGTTGGAGAGGGTCAGAGACAGGGGCTTAGAGCTCTGCTGCCCAACAGCCTCTCCCCCCCGCCCCCAGTCCCCCCATTAGCCAAGCTTTGGGCTCTTTCCGCAGGCCTGTAGGAGCCTAGGCCCTGAGGTAGATTCTCACCTTAACTTCTCCACTGGTTACAGTCCCCGGAGCCTGCCCCTCTCCCCAGATGCCTCTGTTTGCCCACCGCCCAGGCCCCCAGCTCCTCCTCAGGCCTCCCATCCCAGGTCCTTGGACTTCACCCCACATCACTCATCCCTCAGGCCACTATGCCATCTCCATGTCCCGACTCCCAAGCCCCTCAACCCCTATCTCCCCAGCTCAACGCTCCAATCCCCCCAAACCCCAGTCTCCAAAGCCCAGTGCTCTATCATCCCCTGGTTTTCAAAGCTTCCAAATCCTCACGGCCAAGGCCCCCAACGCCCTGACATTCTAGTTCAGCTGCCCAACCAACCTCCCACTTCGGCGTTTGGAAATGTGGTGGGGCGGGCAGGGCATGTCCCCATGACTGGGGGTGGGGGCTCTCCTGGCATTTCGTGCCCAGGGACCAGGACACATCCTGCAATGTTTGGGGACAGTCCTGGAAAAAAGAATGCCAGCAGCACCCCCATGGGGAAAGTGCAAATTCAGGGTCACGGCTCCCAGCTCAAGTCACCTAGGCCCCTGGAAATAGGGGCCCCTCGACCCTGCCCGTGAAGGGTCCTGACCAGCAGGTCCTGGAACACGGCACGCAGCGGGGCAGTGGAGACGCGCCAGGCCGCGCGGGTGTTGTTGATCTGCAGCTCCACGGTGCAGCCCAGCGAGGCTACCACCTCGTTGAGGTTGTATCGCAGGTTGGCCACGGGTCCTGGGGGAAGAAGCCCTGCTGAGTCATTCCCTCTAGCAGCGGTTCTCAACCTGTGGGTCGCGACCCCTTTGGCGGTCAAACGACCCTTTCACAGGGGTCGCCTAAGACCATCCTGCATATCAGATATTGACATGACGATTCATCACAGTAGCAACATGACAGTTATGAAGTAGCAACAAAAATAATGTTATGGTTGGGTCTCAACATGAGGAATTGTATTTAAAGGGCCAGAAGGTTGAGAACCACTGCTCTAGAGCTAAGTAAGTTTCTTAAGCCCACCCCTCGCTCCCACACTGCATGCAGTGACCACCTTCCAGGACTGAATCTGACGGGGCCTACAGCCCTGAGGGGCCCTCTCATGCAGCCCCTGGCTTTTTCACCTGTGTCAGCCAAGGAGCCCCGAGATGGGAGGAACGCTCTCAGGGACACAGCCCATGGCCGCAGCTGGGATTCGGTTCCCACCCTTTCTCCTCCTCCAGGCCTGGCTCCCCTGGGGTGTCCCACCCAGGTCACCGCTTCAGGAGCACTAACTGGTGCCCAGGGGCACACTCACCCTCATAGATGGCGGCCAAGGCGTAGCCCAACGCAAAGAGCCTGCCCTCTTTGCCCAGCATTTTGGGGATTAGCAGGAGGCTGGCACAACGGATATGAGGGGAGGTCCCCCAGCCCACGGCCCCGGAGCCTGTCAGGAGAGCCCAGGAGGTGGTAAGGGAGAGCGAGGAAGCTGGTTAGGCTACCAGGTTTACCAGAGCACCCCCCCTCCCCCCACCTCCCTTCTAGAACACCACCATCCCGCTCTTGTCCCCATTTACACGGACTCAGATAGGCCTTCCAGGCCACTCATTACTTCACTTTTCCCACAGCCATTTACAGAGCTCAGCTGAGTGCCCGTCCCTGGAGGGCTGGGAGAGTGGAAAAGCCATGGCTGGTGATCGACTTCGTGTGTATACACGAGTGAGTGTGTGTGTCAGGGAAGGGGCCATGAGTTCCTATTTCCAGGTTGCGTTCTCTCTTACCCTAGGTCCCTAATTGAGCCCTTAAGCATGGACCTCCTGGTATGTTTCAGCAGTTTCCCATGTGTCTCCCTGTGGTGTATGAAAGGAGACAGTGAGCTCCTTGAAGCTCATAATCCAGGGAGAGAGACAGACGAGTAAACAGATGACTACAGTGCGACGTGCTCAGTGCTCAGGGAGGCGCTTATAAAGACCCGTGGGAGCAAAGGAGGGAGTGGGCACTTCTGCAGGGAGGGGTGGGGCCGAGAAGCTGGACAAAGGAGGTGATGTGTCAGCTGGGCCTGGGAGATGAGTAACTGTTGTTAGAAGGCACGGACGGCATTCCAGGCCACAGGAACAGCACCGGCTGGTCAGGGGACCTAGGAGATTCCTGTGTGGATCGAGTGTTCATCCCAGGGTCGCCCAAGCAAATCCCGAGCCTACGCCTCTCTCCCTTTCCACTGCCCCCATAGAGTCCCCGTCATCCCTCGCTGCGACTAACTGGCCTCCTACTCCCTCTCTCGCTAAGCTACACTTGGATTTCACAAGGCAGCCAGAGTGACCTCGTAAAAACATAAGTCAGATCACGTCCCCTTTCTGCTTCAAACCAACCGGTGACTCTCTACCACACTTGGAATCAAATCTAAATCCCTCAGCAGGGTCTACAGGCTCGTGGTCTGGCCTCTGCCTCCCTCCCGACGTGATGTCATGCTACTCAGCCCTTCACCCACCATGTCCACCCTCACAGACCTTGCTGCTGTTTCTGGAACATGCCCAGCTCATCCCTCCTCTCTGGCCTTTGCCCTGGCTGTCCTCCCACCCAGGAGCTCTCCTCCCCCTAGTCTTCACCTGTCTGGCACCACCTAGTCATACAGGTTTGCTGCAAACCCTATTGGGTGCCACCCGACCGTTTGGTCTGCTTTCTTTCTTGCTAATATAACGAGTTTTGTTCTACGGCCTGTCCATGCCCTGAGCCCTGGGAGTGAATCTGGGTTTGTCTAATCCAATTGTGGTAAAACAGAACATTGAAGGGGCTTTTCCTATGGTCTTGGCCTTTTGACCAAAGACTCAAGCTGAGGACGATAGTTGGTAGAGTTACCCTACATTCTAAGGAGAGCCCCATGGCCTGGCTGGCGTGGCTCAGTGGTTGAGCGCCAACCTCTGAACCAGGAGGTCACAGTTCGATTCCTGGTCAGGGCACATGCCTGGGTTGTGGGCTCGATCCCCAGGGTGGGGCGTGCAGGAGGCAGCCAATGATTCTCTCTCACCACTGATGTTTCTCTCTCTCTCTCTCCCTCTCCCTTCCTCTCTGAATTCAATAATAAATATTTAAAAAAGAGAGAGAGCCTGATGGAGGTGCCAACCCCTTCTCTAGACTCCCAAAGAGCAAAGCTAGTCTCTCACCCCTCCACCCCAACCAGCCTGTACAAAGACAAGACCAGAAACGTGAATTTTCTGGAAGTGGAGAGAAGCGGTTGGAGCGGGCAGCCATTGGAGGCGAGTCTGTGAAGAGAATGGGCGTTCGCCTCCCCACGTTGAGTGAGAGGCTCCAGAGAGCCCGTTAGAGGCTGGCGCTTCGAGAAGGGGAACCTGGTCATCTGTCCGGGGCTAGCCCCCTGCTGAGCTGCAGAACCTCTGCTGCCCAGAGCCCAGAGCCCAGAGCCCAGAACCAGAGCCCAGGGAGCGTTCATGGAGTGAGAGTGGCACGCGCTCCGTGGCAGAGAGAGCCGCTGCAAGGCGCCCTACTTTCCCAGCCTGGCAGTGCTTGCAGTGGGCATTTCCTCTGGGACAAGAGGCCACGCTGGAAGGGAGCAGGCCGCCGGTCACCTGTGAGGCTCCCCATCCGAACGGGCGCCTGCCTGTGGGAGGCATCACAAGCGGAGGCCGTGGGCCGCTGCAGGAGCTGTGGGCAGCTTCACCCGAGGTCGGCCAAGTGGAACTGCCCTCAGCAGTGACCTGGGCTCTGCAAGGTCCACTCTGAGCCTCCAAGGAGACAATACACGTGAGTGCTTGTCACACAGAGGAATTACAACAGTCCCGGTGACCAGACTTTTGTCCCTTTTCCCCTAATGCAGCGGTTCTCAACCTGTGGGTCGCGACCCCTTTGGGGGTCAGACGACCCTTTCACAGGGATCGCCTAAGACCATCGGAAAACACATATATAATAACATATTGTTTTTGTGATTAATCACTATGCATTCATTATGTTCAATTTGTAACAATGAACATACATCCTGCCTATCAGATATTTACATGACGGTTCATAACAGTAGCAAAATTACAGTTATGAAGTAGCAACGAAAATAATTTTATGGTTGGGGGTCACCACAACATGAGGAACTGGATTAAAGGGTCGCGGCATGAGGAAGGTTGAGAACCGCTGTAATCCCATTCTGACATCAGAACAACCAGAGGAGAAGAAAGCGGAGAAAAAAGTCAAGGATTGGCCGTGCCCCCTTCTCCACTACTGGACCCCCACCAGGGGTCAGGCCTGAGCTGAGCAGGCAGGGTGGGAAGGAGGGAGCAGGCTGGAGCAGGAACTGAGATGGAAATGTTGATATAGTAGAATGAATGGGTCTCTTAAAAATAGTCATAATTACTGAAGCAGGACTAGGGCTTCTAAATGAAAGGAGGCAGAAAGCTAAGGGTCTCCGTGAGAGGTCGTCAGCAACGGAACAGGTTTGAATGCAGTGATTAGAGAAGAGCAGCTTCCTGTTGGTGTCTCAGAGAGAGGCGTTCATTCAGCACACTGGTGGGGGTGCCAGTTCTGAGCTCTTCACCTGGGACAGGCTTAGAGAGGGCCTGTGCTGCTCAGTGCTGACCAATGAGACGAAGGGGAGCTGGCCATGTGGCTCAGTTGGTTGCACCAAAGGGTTGCAGGTTTGATTCCCCATTAGGGCACATATCTAGGTTGCAGGTTCGTTCCCCAGTCAGGGCATGCACGGGAGCAACTCAGATATCTCTCTCTCAAAAGCAATAAAAAAATATCCTTGGGTGAGGATTAAAAAAAAAAGAGAGCTATGAAAGGAATCTGGGTCCTTGGTGGGCTTGCTAAGCTGCTGAATTATACAAACTCCAAATTCCACTGTAACTTGAAACTTATTATCTATATATGTAAAAGGCTAATATGCAAAGTGTCCCCTCGGGAGTTCGACCAGAGCCCAGGAGTTTGATTGCTCGCTGACCACCAGGGGGCGGTGCGGGACAAGGATGGCCCTGGTCCACAGCCGACAGCCGGGGAAGGAAGGCCCCAATCGCCCCTGATCGCCAGCCAGGCCTAGGGACCCTGTCCATGCACAAATTTCGTGCACCGGGCCTCTAGTATGAGATAATAAACTTTCTTTATGGTTAAACCACTTCTAGGCGGGCTTTCTTTTCTCACAGCCCAACAGCTCCTGATATTACAATGTCACCTTCTCTGAGAAACCTTCCCTGACTACTCAAGCTAGGGTAGCTCCCCAGCCCTTTCCATCATATTCCCCGGGTTAACTTTTTTTGGTATATGGGACGACACTCCAACTGACTGAGCCACGCGGCCAGGGCTCTTTGCTTGATTATTGATATCTTCTAGCATGTAGAGTCCACACTTGTCTTTTTTAAAACATATTTTTATTTCAGAGAGGAAGGGAGAGGAAGAGAGAGATAGAAATATCAATGATGAGAGAATCATTGATTCGCTGCCTCCTGCACACCCCCTACTGGGGATCGAGTCCGAAACCTGAGCCTGTGCCCTAACAGGGAATCTCATTGGTGACCTCTTTTCATGGGTCAACACTCACCCATCGAGCCACACCTGGGCCTGGTGAACTGTTTTTCATACTGTTTGTCACTATCAGAAATGCTCTTGCTTATTTCTTGTCCATTTAATGCCTAACTCTCTCCACCAGAACGTAAACTCCGAAACAGCTGCTTGTCAATCTTGTTCATTGCTGAATTCTCAGCAGGTGCACAGTTAGTGCTGAATGAATGACCTGAACTTATCAAGAGGAGCAAGACACCAGGCCAGAGAGGTGAGGAGAGACGGGGCTTACTTAGGAAGGGTCGTGGGGTTGGGACTGTAGCCTGAGGCTCATGGGGGGTCCTTCTGATTGGGGAGACCCCTAAAGGGAAAGGACTGTGTCTCCTACAGCCTGGGGCCTCCTCCCTCTGGGTCTCCCCTCAAAGGCCAAGGCAAGGCTGAGGCCACAGCCTTTGGGTACAGAAGAAACAAGCTCAGGCTCCCTCCTGGGGACCCCGGACGGGCCCGTGTTCCCCAGGCCTCCTGGGTGCCTGCCCTTGCCCCTGCACTAACCCGCCAGGCCGTACAGTATCATCGTCTTCTGTTCTTCGTAGAGGTTCATAGGGCTCACCAGGAGCTGAAAGAGACCTGAGGGGACAGAGTCAAAACCAAGATCAAAAGATGGGCCCCCTCCCCTCTGCTCCGCACTCACCTATGGCCAGGAGCCCGCCAGCGCCTGCCCCCAGCAGGACAGCGGTGACCGGAAACTCGCCGGGCTGGCGCCACAGGAATCGGCTACAGCAGGTGGGCAGCGCCCAGCTCAGGAGCCTCTGCACCGCTGAGGGCCAAAGAGTTGAGCCCATCAGAGCCGACACCTGGCTCCTCTGACCAGGATGCGGTTCATTAGGGTGAGGGCTTGCAGGGGGTCAGAGCAGCGGTTCTCAACCTGTGGGTCGCGACCCCTTTGGAGGTCGAACGACCCTTTCACAGGGGTCGCCTAAGACCATCGGAAAACACATATATAATTACATATTGTTTTTGTGATTCATCACTATGCTTTCATTATGTTCAATTTGTAACAATGAACATACATCCTGCATATCAGATATTTACATGACGATTCATAACAGTAGCAAAATTACAGTTATGAAGTAGCAACGAAAATGATTATATGGTTGGGGGTCACCACAACATGAGGAACTGTATTAAAGGGTCGCGGCATTAGGAAGGTTGGGAACCACTGGGCTGGAGGCCGGGGGAGCCTGGAGGAGGGTGGCAGGGACTGGAGGGGTCCTGAAGGAAGTGGGGCAGACATGAGGGAGGGAAAAAAAAGAAGGAAGAGCTTGCCCGAAGGAGGGGCACTGAATGAGAGGGGTAGGGACCCCAAAGCGCAGGGGAGGGGGTCCTGGAGGAGAGACTGGATGAGAGGACGGGGGCGCTGGAGGCACCAGGAAGGGCGGTGCCGATGACGGACTCACTGGTGTGGGGCTGTCTCCTCCGCTGCCCTTTCGGTCGGGCCTGGTGAACTCCGGTGTCCATGTCGCTCTAGGGAGCCTCTCTCACTCAGAGGTCTCCTCAAGGAAGCTCTGGGTGTGAGGTTCTGCTCCCGTCCCTCGGACTCGCCCACACCTGCCTGAAGTCTGTCTTCCAGTCCCCCTCTCTGCCCTGAGACGTGGAGCTGGAGATTAGAGACCCCAACACCCACAGTGACAGCCCCAGAACCTCAGAACCCGGCGAGGAATTCCGTGACTCCCCAGGAGCCACAGAACCTGGTGGGCGTCTCCTGGAGACGGCAGACA